GGAAATAATATCAAAATATTATTTCAGCGAACAGCATTATAGATTAAAACGTCATAATTTAAGTTCGCGATTTCTTAAAACCTGTGTTATGAAAGATTCGAGTTTTTTAAGGTCGTGAACCTAGTTCAGACTTTTATCTAAGTCGAGATGATTTTTTTCAGGAAAAGTCTTTAAAAAATTGCTCAAGCTCAATTTAAGTTTTTCGCGGTTTGACTAATGATTTGTTTTTAATTTCAGTGCATTCCTTTACCTATACGTTTCAGTTTTTTTAATTTTGCTAGTTGGTTTACATGCTGTAATGACTACCAGGTGATGTTGGGATTTAAAGTTTAAATAACAAATCTGTTCACAATAGTTACTTTGTTCACCATGCTAAATTTCATTACCTAATGACAAGGTAACAATAGTTCTTTTTGAACAAACTTGATATTCAAATTTAGCCGCCAATTAAATAAAACCTTCCCCCACGAAGTATATAAACCCATCCCGGCTCCTCCCCTGCTCTTAGTTATTAGGTCAGCTAAAACAAACAAACTTGCACAGTAAAACATCATGTGAACTTTTATTCAATCGTATATAATTCGTAACCCTATGGCCGTCAAAAAAGCCGTTGTTTTGCATAAGAGAAGATTTACGTAATTCGGACTCGCATATAATTCGCCATGATTTGTTTTTGTTTTTTTTTAGGTTAAGCCTTGAAATTTGTTCAAGCTCAACTGTACTTTTTCACTGTTTGACTTTTGATTTTTTAAATTTTTAAATCTTTTGTTTTGTTAAAAGGAGAGAAAAACTCCTTCATCGAACAGCAAAAGTGTTAGGTTCACAAAAAACTTGATTCACTTCTAATTTCAAGAATGGATTTTCAGTATCAAATCTCCCGGCGAAACAAAATATGATCTATTTTAAATCGCTAGTTAACTGAGTGAAAGGCAGAAACGATAAATTACAAAGACAGCAAAAAGCAAAGAGACTAAAAAACAGGAAAGGAAAGCCATATAACTAAAACAAAAATTTAAGCGCAAGCCTCAAAGCTGCGCGTTTGGAGTACTTGTTTTTTAATTCGACGGTAATTATTGAAACTTTATCCGGAGAAGATTCAACATAGGACTCAAATCAACTTAACTAAGTTCAAGAACATTACTATCTCTAGCTACCTGTTTAGCAGGCAAATATAAAAATGTAGAATTTTTTGATGCCAAGTTTTATCAGCAAAAACTTAATGATTGAAACGGTTGTGTTTCCCAAGCAATCAATTAAAGTTTGCGCAAAAGTTTTGCTCAATCTGAAGCAATTTTATGGGACACATTGTGTTTTTGAGACCCCAAGTATAACTTAAACAGCGTTAAGAGTTATAAACGGTTATTCAGCCAAAACGAGTCATATGAAAAATCAATGCAACACAGGTTGGCTTTCAAAACGAAGCCCCACAACGCCACAAAGTTCTTTTTGTATGTTTAGATATTTGCAATCTGCATTTCCTCCTTTATGGAACTTTCCAATCCCTATAAAAGACTAATTTAACAGTTAGGCATATACAAAATTGCATGTTGTACCGTATCTCCGCTCCCTTTTTTGTAATTTGGAGGGGAGATAGTTTACAAAATCCTAGTCTTCATGCAGTTAAACATTTGTCAGTGACTATGAATTGGTGGGACAACGTCTGGCTGAATGAGAGATTTGTTTTGTTCATGAGTCAAGTGATGCTGGAACACAACTGTGTTAAAAGTTATTAACGGTTATTCAGCCAAAAAGATTCATAGAAAAAATTACTGCAACACAGGTTGGTTTTCAATATGAGCTTCACAAATTTGCAACTAAATTGAAATAACATCTTCTGTTAGTTGAATTTCTTTTTTGACTGGTTCTTTTTTGGGCACAATTAGCTAGGGTGTGGCATGCGAAAAAAGACAAGACTATTGAGAGTAGATTTTTTTAATTTTAGAAAAATAAAGGTAAAAAAACAAAACTGCAAGGCGACAATTCGTAACAGGTGACAGTTCCTACTAAGCGACAATTCGTTACAAGGCATTAGCAAGTACAATACGCTGGCTCCGCTGCGCTTACACCCGGCACGAGAGGAATACTGTGTGTGAATCAATATTCCATGCCTAACCTTCTGTTACGAATTGTCGCCTGTTACAAATTGTTGCCTATTACAAAAATTTGACAATTTCAAGTCTGAATCGGGTGCCACAAATAATCTTTAGAATGGGTTGAGTGATACATCATATTGAAGTCCAATTTGCTTATATTACTATGACTGTCTAATTTGGCTGATTTTTATTCTTAAGTCAGATCTTTCATTTACCACCAAACAGAAAAAACTACAAATTGGAAAAAATACATTCTAAACCGTAGTTTTTTAATATCAGAAACTTTATTTGAAACTGAACAAAAAGTTTAATGAATTGATTACTTTTTTAAGCTGGATTCGGATAGCTTGAAAAGGCGGATTTTTCTTTACAAAACTTATAGCTAACTGTCGTTGTCCAATGGAAGTTTTCCAAAATGCCCCGCGTTTTTCAAAAAACGGTGGTGATATCTTGACTGAGTTTTCAAAACTTTTTCTATGAGCTTGCTTTATTATTTTTATTCTTTTGAGCATTAATAGTTTTAGGAATGCTGAAATAGTTACTGAGTTAGTTAAAGCTCAATTTTTTCACCCCAAATTACTTTTTTGCTCTCTTCTATAATTGCCATTACTTATGCGGATGGAGCTTCCCAAGCAGTTCCATTGAGTTTTAACTCAAAAGAAGGATAGTTAATAATGAATCATGCTACTTTTAATACATATAATGGCATTTTTTTTTTCGCGGAGTCTCGATAAGGCATTTTTATTTAATAGACTCAGGTTTTATTTTATATGCTGAAATATCGGTCAAAAAAACTCTTGTAAGAAATCAAAAGCAATTTATTGCATTTTTTCTACGTTTGTGCCGAGCATAAAATATGTTCCGCTTTAAAAAAATTAATTTTTGTATCTTTTTTTACCACTAAACAGAAAAAGCTACACATTGGAAAAAAAACATTCTAAGCCGTAGTTTTGTAAAGACTATGGTCGGACCATTTTGAGCTACTCATTCAGTATATATTCTTTTGATGATGTATGATGTCTGTTCTTATTTGATTTTCCGAAATCTTCCAAAGCATATTAAAAAAATTTACAGCGCAGCAGGCAAAATTATGAGGCCAAAAAATAGGCAAAAAAATATTATAGACACTTTTTATTGAAAATTTTTGACTGAAAAATCGCGCTTTTTCAGCGCGCGTTCTCCCCTCAAAAATAGTATATATTGGCGCCAAAGGCTCATTTAGAAATTTTTTAGGGTCCATTACCAAAAATTGATTTTTCAAATCAGTACAAAGGGGGGACTCTTGAGGGGGATTTCTAACTGAAAAGGACTCTCAGGGCTAGCTAGAATTAAATATCCCTGCTTTCCCATACCACAAACTACTTGGTTCAAGTTACTTTTTTTAGGAAATCTAGCTGACATAATAACTTTCTTACGCAGCTACAGAACGGTTTCAATATTTCAGATGAAACGTTTTCGTTCAACTAGTTAGTCATCCGAAGTTTGATGTCATGATATTTTTAGGAAAAGGAGACGCTTTTAGTGGCGAGAGGGTCAAAAACCTGAAAAGGTGTCCCTAACCCACTAAATTCTACTATGATTATGACCAATATAGATTTTGTGAAGATTCAGTAATATGTTTTTCAATCATACTTTTTAAAAATTATTCAGTCTTACTGTTTCTCCTGTACCACATCCCTCTTTTTACTATTTAAGTAAAAAAGAATGTAGTTGTTAGATGTCATTAAAGGTTCATGTGTCAGTGAGTGAATTGGAGATTTTTTTGTTTCTTTTCCGGGAAAAATGTCCTAAGAATAGTTCAAGCTCAAATATCATTTGCATTAAAGCTCATGTTTAAATGGAACTCAAGCAACGCTTTCTGTATCCGATTGTGCAATTGTTCAAAAAACGTGAATTATTTCTTTCTGTTTTAATGAATGACTTTGATTTTTAGATGTCGACTGTTAATTTTTTGATTTTTAGACAGTAAAGACTATGGTCTATTCTGTGCTACTCATTCAGTATATATTCATTTGATGATGTCTGTTCTTAATACGAGTTATATTGTTCTTTATAGGAAATGCATTTGAAAATGTCAGAACTAGTGGAGTCACGAAGTTTGCCGGATATTGTCCCCCAGACATACAGGTTTTTTGAAAGTTTTTTTGAGGTAACGCCTTTCTCAGCATTGTCTCCTTAGGATCAGATTGGGACTTTGCTGCTATCTAAGGAGTTGAGACGGTTTCCTGCAGAAAGTTAAGAAACTGAGGTTGCAACTACTAAAACACTTTTTTTTTCTCAGGTTTTCTTTGTTTGTAGATTGCACGGCTTATTAGATCTGCTTATTAGATCTTCTTTTTTTCCGAAAATGTTTGTTATACAATTTTTATAAATGACAAATTTTTATTCATACAATTTCCATTTGAGACAAACTTTTAGTCATACATTTTCCATATATAGAAACATGTTTATCATAGAGTTTTCATAGAATTTTCTGTACGTATGGCATTATATGGATTTGTATGACAAGAAGTTTTTCATATATGGAAATTGTATGATTAGAAGTATTGGTCAACCGGGAACGAGTGAGCGGAGATTCAATCTGTCTGAGAAATCGTTACAAATTGGTTGAAGGAATAGTTTATTTACCATACTTGATTTGTTACTTGGAGCAAAATCTATCACATTGTGTTTTAAATGGCTTGTGTGGAGATGATTTTCACAAAAAATCTGAACTAAAAAAACCTTTTTTTATTTTCTTACAGTTAATTTTTTCATGTTAATACTGCTCCATATACCTTACGAGCAGTCTTGTTTCAATTTCATTCTTGTCACAAATCCTGACTTAAAACCCGATTTTATCTTCTCTTTCGCTTTTTGTGTAAAACAAAATAATTATAAGAATTTTTTTTTTTCATTAAAAGCAGTTATAGCACAATGGTAATCAATAGTTATGATTTCTAATTGTTTTTTCAATCCAACCAGCAAAAACAGGTATATTCATGAAAACATCCCTGCCATTGCACCTTTCCCTAGGAAAATCGACAAGTGGTTCAGAGTGACTCATGATCCCATAAAGACAAAGCGGAACTATCGTTCCACAATGAAAAATATAAAGAGGTCCTCCTTCGTCTAGATGACACATGTTATTGTCAATCGGAAATTTCTGGACCCGAATTAAATCTATATCTCCCCATAAAGTGACCTCAAATGGGTTCAGCTCCACTACTGTGTTCATAAAGTAGGCCTCCATAAGTTGGTCGGCATATTTGACGTTGTATCTGGACCTGTTAGTTGCCCCCATGCCACACGCCCCCAAAATACGCCCGTCCTCCACTTGTTTGGTGCAAACAGGAATAATTTTTTGCGGGTCTCGAATTGGTGCTTTGAGTTTGATTAACGCAATGTTGCTCGATAGCTGGTCGCCGAGCTTGAAGCTGCAACAAATATATGCTTATTTTCTGATCAATAGTGTGTGCATGAGTTTTAGGATTGGGGTGTTGCACTTTATCTTTCACATAGCGTTTGATTGGACAAATAAATGTAGTACCTTGAGAAAATTTCCAACAGGGAGAATACCCCTCTGGTAGTAATTTACGACATCGTTTTCTGCCCGGATAGACTTTTTTGATGTATTTTTGGCGCCAACACAAATTGTTACAATATTGTTCCTTTCGAAAAAAGTGCTATTCTTTGGTCTACACCTTCCATAAAATCCCCAAAACGCGAAGCAAAAAATTGAGGTTTGGATGAAAGTCCCCCTCTCCCAAAGGCCCTGCAGTAGGTGGACAGGGGCTAAAATCCAGGGTGTCGTCAGAGCTCGCCCATTTTGAATTAGCTGACCTCTGGTCGCGAGCTTTATTATAAATTCATTAGCCCATAAAGCTTTTGCTCATCAATAGTCGAAGCAAACTTATGCAAACCCACACTTGTTTAGCTCCAAAGTCACTTGCATTTGAAATCGTTGAATCAGAAATTAGTAGTTTCTGTACAATATGCACAAAAAGAAGTTAAATTATCTGTACAAAATTCCATCTATTTTAGAAGCTTTCAAGCAAAAAACAGAGATTGAATTGCAGTATTAACAAAAAAACTTCAAACTAGAAGAAGTATCAAAATTTTTCATCAGGTTTAGCATTTTAAAGGTTTCCAGAAAATTACGGTTTGCGGTAAACAATTCATCTCGAGTGCCCGAGTTGAAAAAAAAAATGCTTCCATACAGTTCTATTCCATGAAAATCACATTATAAGCTTCTCTTCATACATTGGAATTATTAGACAGGCATTTTTTCATACTATGGAGTTGTGTGACAAACATTTTCCCATGTAAATTTTTGTGCTTCGATTTATGCTTGTTTTTCGCCGTGAACATACCAACCAAAATTTTCTCAAATGAGAAAAATCAACAGGGTAAACGGCATTGAAATCGCGGACAAAACTACGTTTTGCTATACACAAAGTCAGATAAAAATTAAATTTCACGCAAGATTTTTACCAAAAAATGTTACAATGGCTACAAAACCTTTTTGATATGGCTACGAAGCCTCTGTTTCAAAAAATTCAGAGTTTGAAAATCATGGCCTAATTTTTGAGCAGATTTAGGTTTTATGTTAACATCTAAAATAAAAGATCACAATTTTTGTCATTCCAGAGAACCCTCGCATCCAGTTTCAAGCGTTAATAATCGATTATGATATGTTTTTAGTACCAGTTTTACAAAAACTGAGAAAAAATTGAGTTTAATCAATTAATAATCGATTATAATCTCTCTCTTTGAAATCGAACAAAATCAATTATAATAAATTATAATCGATTAAAATCGATCAATTTTATCCAAGTTTCAAATTAATTTGTTTTGCAGAGAAAATCCATTATAATCTATTATAATTGTTTATACTCCCTTTTGTTTGTCCATTTTGTTTTAGACCTTGCACATAAAGTGACCTCTATGAAATTTTTGTTTCGTGGTAAAACTTTGTGTTCAGCTGGACCAAAACGTGACAAGATATCTCATTTTCAGAGATTTTTGACAAAAAAAAGTATTAAATTTGATAATCATAGATTGTAAGAGATTATACGATTTTATAGGAGATTATAAGAGATTATAAAAGATTATAAGAAATTATAAGAGATTTTCGGAAAAATTATAATCAATTATAATTGATTTTAATTTATAATAATTCATTCACCTTAATTGGATACATTCAACAAAAATAATATTTTATAATGGATTATAAATCGCTCAAGCATCTAAATTTGGCGCTTATAATTATGATAAAAGTACAATTATAATTGTTATCTAATAGATTTTTTTTCTCTTTTTACTGAGTGCGGGTCTTCACTTGATTCTCTTTGGTAGACAAAACTGTGCGTGGACTATGTTAGATGCCGAACTTCAAAACTTCAAAGTGTCTGAGAATTTTTTTTTGTTCTTTCAACTAGTTTAGCTAAAGTGAGAAATAATTTTTTTTCTCAGTATTGGATTTTTTTTGAGTGCTTGTCATACAACTTTTTAAAATGGAAATTGTAAGATCAGCGTTTTTTTGTTAAAAAAACTAAAATTTTGCTGCCAACAAAATGTTCTCATTCAGCTGAAACCCCATATACGCTTATTTAAACCAGCCTTAGAACCCTTTTCGAAGAATTTCTGAAAAAAAATAGCTTATCTTACATTTTTCTACTTGTCATAAAACCCATGCATGGAGTAGTATGAAAACCATTTTTGTATAGAATTGTATGACAAACCAGGTGATTGCCACTGAATGCAAAATTCAGGTGGAGGTTTCTCTCTGAACCAAAAATTAAAATTTTGCAAATTAAAACATCAAAAAACGTACTTTGAAATGTTGCCCGATTTTTCTTTGCGACCTATGCCTATGAACTTTGCGTGTCCCTGTTAAAGCTATCGCATCTTCTAAGCGACTTATGTCGCAATTTTGCGCGGTTCATTTGGTGTTTTAAACGGCGGCGTGACTGAAGTTTTTGCTCGCGAGATGATTAGATGCACCTTTGGAGCTGGGTAGTTTTCCCGGGTATTTTTGGAGAGCTGTATGTCATGGCATAAGTATCCAATCACAACCAAGTATTCAAACAACAAGTAATAAAACTCAATCTCACGCTTTCTTTCGAGCTTTTGGGCACTTCAATTTGAGTGGCTAACATTTTATTAGAAGCAAAAAGTTTGGACAGACAAAAATTATTAAAATAATTGACCTTTTTCAGACAATTTTTGCATGCAAACGCTAATATTTCCGACACAAACTAACCGCACTCAGTAAAAAGAGAAAATAATTGATTAAATTACAATTATGATTGTGCTTTTATCAAAATTATAATTAGCTATTATAAGCAATTTATAATCCATTATGATGATAACATTTTTCGTCTGATTATAATAAATTATAATCTATTATAATTGATCATATTTTTTTCCAAATTCTCTTATAATCTTATATAATCTCTTATAGTCTCTTATAAACTCCTTTAATCAATTATAATCTAATATAAAAAAGTTCAAAAAAATTTCTGTCGAAAATCTCTAAAAGTGAGATGTCTTCTCAGAACACAAAGATTTACCACAAAGCGAAAGTTTCATGGAAATCCCTTTATATTAGTTGAAAGAATCCCGAGGTAAGTGAAATATAACTTCTATATAAAACATGAAAGTAGAGCAGTGTGCTGATATTTTGATGTTCAAAAAACTTAAATTAAAATTTACATCATGAAACAACTATAATCAAAAAGAGTGAAAAAAACATTAAAAATTTGAATTGATTTGAAAACTGTTAAAACTTTTTCCCATTTTTTTTTACAAAAACCAACGTCTACAAAAAGCTTAAAATATAAGCAATTCATGTGCAAGGTCGAAGACAAAATGGGCAAACAAAAGGGATTATAAACAATTATAATCGATTATAATGGATTTTTTCTGCAAAACAAAATAGTTAAAATTTCGGTTAAAATTAATCGATTTTAATCAATTATAAAGTTGTATAAGTGATTATATTTGATTTCAAAAAAGAGATTATAAAAGATTTTTAATTGATTAAAATCAATTTTGTCTCACTTTTTGTTAGACTGGTACTAAAATTATATTATAATCAATTATTAACGCTTGAAACTGGATGCGGGTACAGTACTGATTTAATTTATCAGCACAAATTGAACAAAACTTGAATTTTCAAACGAGTTTTACTCAACTTGGGTTAAGATTAGACAAAAAATGAAGAGAAAAAAAAGTTGTTTCATCAGAATTAATAAGGTGCATTTTTTTCTCCGAAAGTCTCAACCAAAATTTTATCCCAAAAATGGGTCATTTTGACTTTTTTCAAATAATCAAGAATTATGCTGATACGACTTTGTTTTTTGACGAGGAAGATATATCACAAAAAGCTTCTCACACAGCCCAACAAAGTTCTAGAAGGGTTTAATCTCCAAAGTAAATTGTTTCAAATTTGTTTTTAAGCTAAGACTTTTGGTTTTATATAAGAAAAATCGCATCTCTTGCATATCAAGCAAAAATATTTGCTCATACAGGTTTTTGGAGATTTAACCTTGCTAGAACTTTGTTGGGCTGTGTAAGAGGCTTCTTGTGATATATCTTCTTCATCAAATAACAAAATAGTTTCAGAGTAATTCTTGATTAATTGAAAAAAGCCTAAATTACCCATTTTTGGGGTGAAGTTTTGGTTGAGATTTTTGGAGAAAAATTGCAATGCTTTATTTCTGATTCAATACTAAACAACTTTTGTTCTCTTCACTTTTTGTCTAATCTGAACCCAATTTGAGAAAAGCTTGTTTGAAATTTCAAGTTTTGTTCATTTTGTCCGGATAACTAATATCAGCACTGTATGTCTCAATGTCACCTAAAAATTCAAATTTGCATATAAAAAATGCTCAAAATTGGCAGATGCTTTTTAAAATCATTTTTGTCAGTCCAAACTTTTTGCAATTCTCTTTAACTTACGAACCAATGCGTGCGTTTAAATGTTCACTCACTATTCTTCGTGACTGAACCACATTTCTATGGGAAACATTGTGAATAGATCCATGCTCACGAAGTCTCCCACCTCCACAAACGACTGACTAGCTGAAACATTTACCAAATACCAGGAAAGTCCGGAACATCAGTTGTAATCATCAAACGATGTGTGACCTTTACTGTTAGTATTCAAACTTTTCTGTTTTCTGTTTTTAACTGATTCTTTTACAAGAACCTAGAAAGTTTTGGACTCACTAAATCTCTTTTTGACCCCATAACTAACTGAATTTCTTTTTGAAAACTCTCTTTTATGATAAATTTAACAAAAGGTTTACTGTCCCAATCAAGAATTAGTTCGTTTGAAAAAGTATGATTTTGAAAGTGAAAAACTATCGCGACCGAAACTTGGCATTTTCAAGTTTAGCGGACCGATGAGATTTTCCGCGACCAGCGCGACCCAAGAAAAGTTAATTGCATCCGGTGCGACCAAAGCATTAACCGCGGCTGGCACGACTTTGTTTTTTATTTGCTACAATTTTTAGTTTTAATCTGTAATTTATGAAACAAGTTACGAGTTCAGTGCCCGTTTTTTCCGCAAAATTTTCATTTAAAAAAGTCGATTATTGTGTTTTTTGATATCAGTGGAAAACGTTAGAGCCGTGCATTCATTTTTCAAAAAAAAACACATAGGCAATATTTTTTCAAAAAGTTATGGGGCTTTGCAAGTGTGGCAGTTTTGGACAATGAGTATATAACAATTTATTCGCGCAGTATATAGACAATATATAGCATTTATTTACATGCAACAGGCGAGTCAATCGGATCAACCATTTACTCTTACCAACAGATTATGTATCTTTTTATACTTCACATAGCTTGTCGTTGGATAACTTTCCCAAAAAATTCTGTAAACGAACAGAAATTTTTTATAAAAACTTGTTCATCGATCTTTAAACCAAAAACTATTTGACAGACAAAAAAACTGGCCCTCAGAACATTCAAGTCATAAGAATTTTCAGGTATAGCAGTTCTAGTGTCCCATTTTGTGTGGGAAAAATAAAAAGAAGCTGATCCCTCATGAACGCAACACTAAGCTATATAGTAGCTTAGCAATCCATTGCCCTTTTCGTTTTTATTTTGGCTAAAAACTTATAAACAACTCACCTTCTTGATTTTCCAAACAGTGAGCTGCTGTGACTATCCAAAAGGGATGTATGATAGATCCCCCGCAGTACGTTGTGCTAGTTCCATTGTGGAGCTCAATTCTAACGTAGAAAGAACGAGGGCGGCTTTTTACCCCATTCACTATTGAAGATGTTATGGATCTGGAAATATATTTTTTCGAATCTTGATTAGAATATATGACAGCAGTTCTTACCTCTTTTATTAAAATTAAAACGAGAAAAATCTTCTCGAGATACATTTTTCAATCTTTGTTTTGTTAAACCGAGTCAATATCTAACCTTTCAAAACAACTTCAGTTTTAATTTTGACCTTTAATGTAGTTCGTTATGAAATTTACTCCAGCATGATCAAAACTGTTTTGCAATTTGAACCACAGCCCATAACTCACTGATATTGGAAAGCATAACGTAAATTCAAATAAAGAATAATCCAAACTTAAGAGTAAAATGAAGATTTGCAAAAGCTTACAATATTTCAACCTCTGAGTTTTTTCCATTTTTTTTTCATTCGCATAGAGGTGGGCTTAAACATCTAATGAAAATCCGCATCCAGTTTCAACCGTTGATCTATCCTCAAGCTTTTTTCTTCCTAAAATTGAAAAAAAAAATATTATAATCAGTTAACAATCTCCCGGGTTGACCAAAAATGCTAATCCTAGGGTTGATGCCAAAAATGCTACTCCTAAATGCTAGGGTTGACCATAGATTCCATAAGCACAAAAATAGCATGAAAGATTTGTGGTTATTGATTTTTCAAATATGATAATTGTATGACTAGCATTTTCTCACAAAAAAAAAGATTTTTTTTTAATTTAATTTCTCAAAATTTTTGGGATGGGACCAAAACCATAGTTTACTAAAAACTAGAGTCATCAAAGGTTTGATCGTCTTGATTTACAATGCATTAGAAACGACCTGAAAGTTAAAAAAGTTTTCTTACACAAATCATATACTGAAAGCATCAGACTTTCAAATTTTAGCAAAACTTTTGAAATTGAACATTTTTAAAATTTGATTTTTTAAACTATCAGACAATGATCAAGGCATACAACAGAAATAGGAGTGTTTAGCGTTTTTGTTCAAGTTATCCAGAGAAACGGAAAAAACATCCAATTTTTCTGTATCCAGGACTACGTTAAACAGACAAAAAAAAAATTTTTTTTTTGGAAATGTTTGTTTAAGTGCAAAATTTAATTTGCGATTGAAAAAAAAAAAAATCGGCAGCAATATCAAATTTTTGTTGTTGCCATCAAAAAAATTCTAGTCATACTATTCCCATATATGTTTTTTGACAAATAAGTTTTTATTTTTAATCAATACAAGAAAAAAAAGTTTTTTGATAATCCGATGAAACCATTTTAGCAGTGTATGAAGTTTGTATGATTAGTACTTTTTCATAGAATCAGTTTATGGAATTTATGATTAGCATTTTGGGTCTATGGAAGTCAACCCAGTCTGTTATAATCCCTCATTTTCACTGCAACTTGTGATCATTCACGAAACATTTTATTCGATTGAAGACTACAATTGTAATTAATATTTTTCGATGCAAATATAATCGATTTTTTTTGAAAATCTATGTGTTTTTTTGTAATGAACACGATTCTTTTTTAATCCATTAGAATCGATTTTAATTACTTGCACGTTTTCTTTTGACTTTGCACATGAGTTGCTGAAAATTGATGTTTTTGTTTTAAAGCTGATGGAAAACAGTTGTAGAAAAGTACATTGATAAGATTTGATGATTAGTTACCCGAGTTATCTCTCAACAACCGCTTTCAACTTACCAGAAATTTTTCAACTAAAATGAAGGAATTCTTGTGCATAATTTGTTTTGTGGTAATATTTTGGGTTCAGAGGAACCAAAATATGACAAGACATCTCATCTTTAGAAATTCTGTTTTTGACAGCAACAATATAATCCATTATAAGATATGTTTGTGATGTAACAACTTCCTGGAAAAATTCACGATTATAAGCGACTTTTCATCTTTTAAATATTCATTTTTCATAAATGTAATCGATTTTAAATGCCACAAAAACTACATTTCAATGGGTTATAATCAATTAATGAAACCCAGGGGCGGATTAATGGGTGCGGATGCCCCCTTCCTCAGGGATTTGACCGCCTGCCGACTCAAAGGGTCTCCCTTTGTACTATTTTGAGATATCAATTTTTGGTGAGGAATCCCAAAAATTTTCTAGAGCCGCCTTTGGCGCCATAATAATTTATTGATGGGGGAGCGCGAGCCAAAAAATAATGCAATTTTTGGTCAACATTTTTCTAAAAATTCCTAAAAACACCTTTTTCTAAAAACTCCTAAAACTAAAATTCCTAAAAACACCTTATTGCTTCGGGAGAGCTCGGAAAATCAATTTGGTCGACTAAAAAAAAGGATCAAAAAATTTTTGAACTTTTTTTGAAGATCCACCCCCTTCAAGAAAATCCTAGATCCGCCCCTGCTAAAACCTATGTTTGGATGCGGGCAGTTTAATTACACTAATTCTTAATATGTTTACTACTGACTCCATTTCAGCGAAGAGTGATTCAATTGATCAGACTCGAACGGTTCAGACTTTTTTTTTATCATTTTACCTAATTTTTGGTTGGATCTATTTAACAGTCCCCTATAGAATCAACCAAAGTATCCAACAGTGAATGAAAATATTGAATTAGCACAATATTTTTTTGATAAAACTCTAATTTAGCTGCAATCCGATTTGACCTGTGAAAAATTTGCTGATTTAATCATCAAAACGATTTCCCCTTTTTTCAAGAAATTAATTAAGATTGTTATATAGAACTAAATTTTTTCTTCATTTTCGAATAAAGTTTTAAAAGGCTTCGAATTATATATCCCTCGACCCAATTTGAGCAGTGGTTGAAATCCGAGAGGCAGTTTTTCTTGGCGAATTATTATGGGCTTTGGAATTTCATGATTTGGTCCAAAAGTTGATTAAGTTACAGAGAACGAAAAACAGAAAAACATATTGGTCGTTGGGGGTCTCCTCATTGGCCGTAAAACTGAGAAATAGTAAAGTTTGGTGGCAAAAATCTGAACTTAGCAATTTTTTTTCGTGAAATACTCGTCGTGCAATATCTGCCTCGGTAGCGAATATCGCGGCGTGTCCTTTTGGTCGCGAAAGTCTGGAACTGCCAAGGTTCGGTCGCGAAACTCTGGACCTGTCTAAACTTTGTCGCGAGAGTGAAAGTCGCGGTTTGAAAGTAGCGGACCTCGACCCGACTCAAAAAGTTCGACTTCAGTTGGTGTTTACAAGTCTCAAAACCAAGTCTCAGTTTTCCCCTTTCCTTCTAAATAAATTTCCTGCCATTTTCGATCCCTTTTTAGCTGTTTTCCTCAATTAATTGCCAAAAACTCAGTATTCAAAATTGACAAGCCGTTGTTCGCAGTTTGATTTGACACATGTTGCCGATAACGGGGTGTTTTTCAATACGTAATCATTAGTGTTGTTTTACTTTTAAACTTAACGACCATAAATTGTTATTTAGCTGCCGAGCGAAACTGAAAACTCCTTTGATAATGATAAACAGATAGCGTACTCCTATTTATTTTTTTTAGCTGAAGCTCAACTACTTTTTATCAGCACAGCGCGTGTTTTGTTTGAAATCAATAGCGGAAACATCATCAAAAAAACTGTTCAATTATTTGCGGCGCCTGTAACGAAAAAACTATTACCAAACAACGAAAAATTACCAGCAAAGGATCAATACATTTGAAAAACCTTGCAATTAGTGAAGAAAAGTGTGTTGTAAAACTACTTCTGTCGTTTACTTTACTTACTTTGAGTTTTCTTCGACTTTTGTACTGTTTTTCAGCTCGTAACTAGAATGCATTTGGTGTGCTGTTTTAGCCGAAGTAGGTTTTTGAATTTTTAAAATAATTTTTATTTTAAAAATCTTTTTGCGGAAAAAAATCCGGTTCCGTTGAACAACATACAAAGTTTACATGCTCTGAATTTTTCTACTACTTTTTTGCAGATTGTGGAAAAATCATCTGGCATAATCTGGACGTTCAGAAAAACGTGCTCCGAAAATTTTTTTTGAGGACCATCAAAGCTATTCATGTGATTCTGTAGGTTTGAATGCTTTTCAACAATAACTCAAATGGACTCAAAAAAATTAAGTGAATTCTATTAGTTTTTGTGAACTATGTGATTTCGTGATAAGAACTAGTACAACCTTCAAAAAATACAACTCGGCTCTTAAGCGGGAAATCTGTGATAGCATAGAGAGTCATTAATAATCCAACTTAACTTAAAAACGTTTGAAATATTTTTCGGTTAAAATTTTTATAGCACAAAAATTAATTAATTTGATTATGTTTATTAATACTTAAAACAAAGTTCTACAAAAAAATTTACGGAGTTTCAATGTTTGGTGTTATTTTCTTTCTTCAGTTTTTTTTATCATGTTACAACCATTAATAGCTTGAGCTCAAAAAAGAAAAAACAATTCATCTGTAAGCCTTTTAAAAAAAATTATTAGGGTTTGATAATTGCAATTTGTGATAACCAACGCGCAATGTATTTTGGTCAATTAAGATGCAAGCATCGATTTACTCTGGATAAGAAATCGCTGTAAATTGAAAAAAAGAAAAAATTGTTTGGCCTAAATAACACGCGCTGTATGCAAATATATTAGATTGTTCTTTACATAACGTGTGTAGGTTGACTTTGAAAAAAAACTGTAGCTATTTTTCGAAATATTAAAAAAAATTTAGACTCTTTTAAAAAATTTTGTGAAAATTTAGTTTAGTGTTAATATATTGTGTTCAGATGAACCAAAAGATGACAAGACATCTCAAATTTAGAGAAGTTGTTATTGACAGCAACATTAAACATATTATAAGATAAGTGTCTGATAAAAAAATCACTGAAGAAAAAAATTTTCGCCTAAATAGCTTTCGCTGTAAGCAAAACATATTACCTTATTCTTTACATAATGTATGGAGGATGACTTGAAAAAACTGTAACCACTTTTCGAACTATTGATAAAATTTTAGCAAAAAAAATTTAAGGTTTTCATCAAAAACTACGGCATATAATATAAGAAACTGTTCAAACAGTCAAAGTTTTGCTTTGCTACCAGATTGTTTTTGGTATTGCGACTTTTAAAAAAAAAAATGAATAGTAAATTTGTCGGTGCTTGGTGTGGCTTTTTTTTTATTTTGACAATTTTTTAAACTAGCGACTTGAAAAAATTTCTTCGTACCATCTGACAATTTGTGACGCCCTAAACACAGCATTGAAACAAAATATCAACTTTGATCCTTGTTGTAAAATTTGATTTTTTGAAAATTGCAGTTTTGGCTAACTCGGGACAATTTTCGCGTGCTATTTCTTGGTTTTATTGACCGCGTGAACGTCAATTTTAGCCAGCTCAAATTTCGTTCACTTTTGGTTCGAGGTATGCTATTTATTAATATGTTGATAGACGCTAATGACATCGCTCTGTACCTTGCATGGTGTTTAGGAAGAACTTTGCAAAAAATATTCGGACAACAAAACGTTTCTTAAAAAGATGATATTATCGAATTAATTCGATTGATCATCATAGTTTTACAGTTAACTGCTTTTTGATATAACTTCATTCATCGTTTCATCGCTAATTGTCTTTTTTTCACACTACTTGTGCTCGACGTGTAAAAGCTCAAAACTTCATTTTTACTCTGTTAAATGTTAGACTAAAATACTGAGGTTTATGATGCAATTTCGCGCGATGTTTCTTAGTTGGAAAACTTTAAGCCCACATATCATAACAACAAAAAAATTACTGGAGAAATTTTAATTCAATTTTCATTTTACAGCATCATAGGCCGTAGAATTTTAAAAACAGGAAAGCCATATGGGCTCAAGGAGTTCGATCCGGCCTAAAATTTTTTTTTAGAAAAAGTAGCGTTAAAAATTAGTCTTATCTATTTTTTATCTAACATTTCATCATTTCAGGTTGATTATTAAAAATGTTAGTTTGAAATTTAGAAACGTAACATATGAATAAGCAAGTATTTTTAAATTCGTAGTGCTATACAATCGTACCATAAATTGTTCCGAATGAGCAATCAACCGATACCAAAGAGTTCTTCGTCTCACATATTGTTCTTTAAGCACATTCTTTTTTATGTTTTATAGAAAAATATATGTTTTACAGAAAAATATTGAAGGAAAATTTGTCATGGTCATGTCGATTTGACCTAATTGATTGGTTACACATTTGGAAATTTCTTGGCTAAAAATATTTGGCAATGCTTTATGCTGTGGCCTTGAGACTTGAATGAATCATAGAAATTTAGTTCTTCATTTCTTTATCAGTCAGTGACCTTTGAAAAATTGCTTCTAATTAACAAAAAACTTAAGTTTGTTTTGACTTGCTCGCCAAATTATATATTGAGTGTTCTGTAGGCAAGAAATGATCAGCTTCCGGCAATCATTCTAATAAAGATATTAAAATATAATGGCGATGTTTGAGCAGATAATGCTAATTTGAAGATCTTACCTAACGAAGCAGTTTAAAAACGTTTCCATAACTTTTTACCACATCAAACTTTCTTTTCAATATGAAAACTTGCTAATTAATTAATCATAACTAAATGCTAAAGTACTTACTTTTCATGATAAATGTTTTTATAAAAGTCTGGTTGCATCACAAAATTGATAATTCTGTTTGATGGTGGGGGAAGGTAGGAAAGCTTCAATTTGTACCATTGGTCAGAAAAAAAGTGCCATCGATCCAGTAATTTACTCTTAGGTCATTGTTAAACATATTCAAGCTACTTCCTTGAAACTAAAATAATTCCGTCATTGTTTTGCTAAAATTCAATCAATATATTTGATTATCTTCTTACGATTCTCGTTTTCTGTTATTACTCCTGATTTATTGATAAGAGAAGTTCTCCCGTTCTAAAACACAATCAAACTTGAAAACACCTGGCGCATCTGAAATCTGCGATCATTTTGTTTAAATTTATGAGTACGTTTTCTGTCAAATTCAATTGGAGAAAACCAAAATTTCAGGACAGATACTTTGCTTAGAATGATGTTTATTTTAGAGTCGATGAACGCACTTAAAAACTTATGATCTTGAATAAAAGCTTGATAAAATGTCTAATGTATACACCTAAAAGGGCAAATCCATTATTTCAAGGAGCATGAACTATCAATTGGCTGTCTCCTACCATGTTATTAAAATTCTGCATTTGACATAAAATTCAATTTCTTTTTCATTGGTAACTGATTGCGCTTGCTTACTTTTTGTTACCTTTTGTTTGGACCCAATATATGTATCATAGTTTCTCATGGCTAACTTGGGCAGTAGTTCAACCGGATTGATGAACCAAGTCTCTGCCAAATTAGGTTCCGGTCTTGGGTTGTTAGCAATGTTTCTCTTCATTTATCTCATCTATTCGTTCACACTTCACTCCTCTGTTACAATTGAACAGGTAAAATTACACACCCGGGATGACCAAAAATACTAGTCATACAATTTTCATATATGGAAAAATGCTAGTCATACACTTTCCATGCAACTCCATTCGTACAGAAAATTGTATGAAAGGTCTATGATTAGTATTTTTTCATATATGGAAATTGTATAACTAGCATTTTTCCATAAACCAAAAATATTGATTTTTTACATTTTGATTTCTCAATATGTTTTGGTTGTGTTCGTAACCGAACAAAAATGACATAAACCTTGATTACTCAAACGTAGTAACCAACGGTTTGGCCCTCTCGCAATAACAATGCATTGGAAACAGCCTGATATGTGTTACTTCTGTCGCAGACAAATAACATAACGAAAGTAGTGAACTTTTAAATTTTGGCAGTAATTTTCAAAGATGATTATTTCTAAAATTTTAATTTTTAAATTACCAGACATTGATAAAGGCATACAAAAACATGTCATACGAAAGAAAGAGGAGTTTTAAGCGTTTTTGAAAAAAGTTATGAAGAGAAAAGGAAAAAAATCCAATATTAGTATATCCAGGACTACGTCATACACACAAAAAATTAAACTTTGCATGCAAAATTGTTTTTTTTTTTCAAAAAATGTTTGTTTGAATACGAAAATCAATTTGCGGTTGAAACAAAAACAAAAAATTTTTGGGGGCAATTTCAAAAATACTTCGCCATCAAAAAAATGCTAGTCATGCCAGCAAAAACGCTAGTCAAAAAATGCCGCCAAAAACGCCATCAAAAAATGCTAGTCATGCAATTTCCATATATGAAAATTGTATGACTAGTGTTTTTTTTCAGAAAACAAAAATAAAAAAGTCAAAGTTTTCAGTCGTAGCAGCCCAAAAAAACGCTTAAATGTTTTTCCAGCAGTTGAATTAATTGTTCAAAGCTTTTTTTTCACAATAAAAATTAAAAAAAAATCTAATCATACAATTTCCATATATGGAAATTGTATGGGTAGCATTTTTTTCATACCATTTTTTTTCCTTTTTTTTTATGAAGAGATACCAATTTCGATACCTAAACAACCATAAAACACCTTTGAAATTCGATTAAACTCATTTTGCAAAAATGTATGAAATTTGTATGACTCGCATTTTTCCATAGACTAAGTGTATGAAATTGTATGATTAGCATTTTCGGTCTATGGAGGTCAACCCGGGCAATTATATGGTTCTTTCAATGTTACTGAGCGCCACAATACTTTGTTTTGTCGAATAACTCTAAACAAATTGTTTATTTTAAAAGTGCTCTTGGTGCCAACAAATACGCTTTTCAAGGGCGGCGGATGAGTAGAAAAAATTGTCAAAAACTATAGACAGGTGCTTTTGTGAACAATTGGTTTGCGACGTCAACTTATTTTTTTTTCCAGGCCGCTCGTATCACACCAAGGGTCAGTGGCTTAGACTTATCAAGCGATAGCATGTCTACAGCAGCCAAACTCGAACAGAAAAGCACTGACAAAAGTTACATGCCGAAAGTCCATATCAAACAAAATTTTTCCCAATTGCCAAGTCACCTTGATCATATCAAAAACATGTCGACATCTGACCTTGCCAAAATGGTTCTCTCTAACTGCAGATTGACCCAAAATTTCGAAGGGGAGTTCAAACGACCGAACGGTGAATTGGACGAACCGAAGTTGATGAAGGAGACGGAGAAGATAGTTGCTAAAGTTAGGATAGATAAACGATACAGGTGGCCACCTGCTTATGATTCGAGGGACAAAAAGTGAGTGGATACAATTTAGGTTTTTCCGTATTCGGGTCAAACAAATGCTAAAGTTGTAGCTTGAGGGGTAAATTGCAAGGCGCTTACTAACTTTTTTGGAGTTCTTCTTATCACTATCAAAATTTTTCAAACATTTCTTTTTCTTGCTTTTTTGCATGTTTGATTTTTTGAAATTATTGGCAAATGAAGTAATTATGGGCCTCAAAAGTTTTCTAAGTTTTGAAACCATTATTCTCAGAGTTTATAATAAAATTAAAATTTATTTTTCTATTGGTACGTTTTGTCTTGGAGATTTTCAGCGCTCATTTAGGAATCAAAAAAAATTTAAAAATCAAAAACTCTTTGCAAAAAAATTGAAAAAAATTTCGAAATTTTCTAGAATATTTGAACGAGATTTTTTTTCATTGTTCTATAGAGAGTTGCAAAAAGTTCGGACAGACAGAATTAATTAAAAAGCGCAACTGTTTAGACATCAACGGAAATTAAAACTGAAATAAACACAACGTCGAAAGTTCATAATAAAGCAGAGTTTCGAGATCTACTTAACAATCCCCCTTTCAAGAAAGGGGAGGAGATCGTTAATACGATTACTTGCAGCGAACTTTCGACCAATCAGAATGCTGCAAAATTCGAATTTACATACTATGCTCTACTGCGAATTTACTGTTTTTATTTACAGGGGTGGATACAGCGAAACTCGGATCTACTTAACAATCCACCCCTATTGTACTTACTAAGTAGATCCGAATTTCGCTCAAAACCTATAACCACGGCGGGCAATTGCATCCGAAGCGTCGAAATGTTTTACAGTAAAATCTGGATGTTCATCGCAGTATTTAAAAATTAGGCTAGCATAATCATCGGATAATCGACGATCTCGCATTTTGAATTTGGTCTGACAAAAAATTCAAGGTTTTTGGGCTTCAGGTTTTGCAAGCAAAAAAGTGTCGAAAAGCACTGATTGCTCATTTTAATTAATTCTGTCTGTCCGAACTTTTTGCTACTAGTTATAATTATTTGTCAGAAAAATTTTAAAACTTTGCAAATTTTTTTTTAAATTGCGCAATAACCGTTTATCAATGTTTTTATGGCGAGATTTTTTTTCGTAAAAAAGTTGCGCCATCATTTTGAAACAGTGATGCTTCTTGAATTACATTTTTTGAAGCAATTTACTAAAAATATGGAGTTGTTGCTTATGATTCCGAGGGAATTTTTTTTAAAATTGAGATTAATTTTACCCAAATACATGTTATCTAACTGATTTTCTTCATCAACCTGCAGTTTTTTTTATTTGAAAAAGAAAGCTGGGTAAAATGGAGTGTTTTTGTCGAATTTTGAAATACTAAAAATTTCCATCCAAACAAAAATACTTTTATGAAGATTTTATGAAAAATTTTTGTCATATGGAACTAACTGGAACTGTAGGACGCAAAACTTTTTCAGTAATGCGGTTTAAATGATTAGAAGCTTCAGCCCTTTCGGCTGTAATTCGGGTATAACTATTCGGATTCAAAGAACTGCGGCAATCTCATGCGACAATCTCCTTCAACCACGTGAAAACTCTTCTGTCAATAACATTCAATTCGTAGTTTCGGTAATACAAACACTTTGAACATTCAATTCGTAGTTTCGGTAATACAAACACTTCGTGTCATGGTCGCTAAAAAAACCAAAATCTGCTTTAAATTGCATTTATATCAATAATTTTTTCTGTAAAAACTTTGTATGATAAGTTGGAGCAAGCTATCCAAAACAACCGAGACAAACTGCTCAGACATCCTCAGCCCTTAAAAACGGAAGAAAGTGAGCGAGCTTTATGGTCGGCGTGTAAATTTGCTCGTAATGGTTTTAAGGTCGGCTCAAACTTCGTTTCACTTTGATACGAGGAATGCTAGTTATTAGTATGTTGCTAGACGACAATTACATTACTCTGTACTTTGCATGTTGGTTGAGATGTTTTGTGAAAAAAAAATCTCTGAAAATCATTTATTTTTCATTCAAAGAAGTATCATTTTTCACGTTTCTTAAAAAGATGGTTTTTATCAAATGAATTTGTTTGATTATCATAGTTTTCCAGTTAATTGCTTTTTGATTCAATTTCATTCCTCGTTTCATCTCTAATAGTCTTTGTTTCACATCACTTGTGCTCGACATGTAAAAGCTACAAAGTTCATTTTCACTTGGTCAAGGGCTCGACCCCCCTTTCAACAAAAAACAAAATGTAGAAGAAACTCTATTTCAATTTTGATTTTACAGCATCATATGCCAAAGAATCTCATAAACAGGAAATCAAAGTGGGCTCCAAGAATTCAATGGGGCCTACAAACTCTCGCTTTTCTACAATTCTCGTTTTTTTTCTCTTCATTTATTCATTAGAGAAGTTCTTCCGTTCTAAAACACAATCAAACTTGAAATTAACTGGCGCAATTGAAATCTACCAGCCTTCTTATTAAATTTATATGCACGTTCTGTCACATTCAATTTCAAGAAAAAAGTTTTGTTTGCTTAAGTTGATGTGGATTTTAGAGACGATGTCCACTTAAAAGCTTATGATTTTTGTGCCGCACTCTCGTATCCTGTAAGATCTAAAAAACCTGGTTCAACATCTGTAAATTATCGGCAATTTAAACAGATAATATGACAATATAAAGATAATATAAAATAAGGCAAACATCAGTTTAACATTTTCGGTTAACATGTTATCAAACGGTTTTTCAACAATCTCAAAAATCTATAAACATTTTGATGGCAAACTGACCTTAATCGGACAAACCAGTAGTTTTCAAGGCCTTTTGTCTAAGCAAATCTAATTTTAGCTTTTTCACTTTCGCGCTATAATGGCGTCATTAATTTAAGCGCGAACATCTTCCGCGCCCAAAAGAGCAAAAACGGGTGCGAGTTTTACGGCCGGTCGAGTTAGCTCCCCGGAGCGGGTGGTAACTACGGCGGATCGGGCTATGTTGTCTTTTCCGTAATTAAGGGTTTTTATACGAGCCAGAGGGTAGTGTCCCCTTGGGTTGCTGCGTTCGTCAACAATCCACACTAAATCCCCTGTTTTTAAAATAACGTCACTATCGGAGTGCCACTTACTGCGTTTATTCAGCGCTGGCACATAATCTCGCAGCCAACGACTCCAAATTGCGTTGGCGTAGCTTTGCGCTCGGATATATTGCTTTCGATGGTCGAAGTGCTCCTGGAAAGAGAGAGAAGGAAAGCTAGTACCCTTTCGGCCTAACAAAAAATGATTAGGAGTTAACACCTCGAAACCATCCGGACTTGCACTTACTGATGTTATAGGTCGAGCGTTCAGTGATTGTTCTACAAGACAGAAAGTTGTTTCAAGGACTTCGGGAGTGAGCTTTCTACTTCCTATTATTGCGTAGAATACCCTTTTACAACACCGAACGAGACGTTCCCAAGAACCACCGTGATGCGGGGCTGCCGGGGGGTTAAATTTCCACTTAATACCCTTTTTCGCCAGCTCTGGGGGTGCTTGATCGTTCCACGACTGAATACAATTTAAGAGTTCTTTCTCGGCTCCCACAAAATTGGTGCCGTTATCAGACCAAATGACTGATGGAGTGCCGCGACGGGCAATGAATCTTTCGATTCCCATTACTCACGAACTCGTGTCCATGGATGAGACAATCTCAATATGTACAATTCTGGTGGTCATATATGTAAAAAGGAAGCACCATCGTTTTTCAGAACTCCTCTTGATTGAGACGTAAAAGGGTCCAAAGTAATCAACACCACAGTTTGTGAAAGGAGGCTGGCGGTAACCAAGCCTTTCAACTGGAAGCTCTGCCATCATAGGTGTGACAGTTTTGGCTTTGCGCTTCCTACATATAAGGCAGTGGACTTCAATGGACTTCAATAAAGAGCGAAGGTTCAAGATTGCGAACTCTAAGTGAATTACAGCTCGCAGGTAGTCTAAGAACTGGGGCTGATAGCGATAATGAATATCACTTACGAACAATTTCACCAAAGAATGCCTTCCATCAAGGATTATGGGGTGTTTGTGTTATATTCAGTTTCAACTAGGCGGCGAATTCGCCCAATTGAACGAATGAGGAATGCAGGACCCATAAACGGTGCATACTGTGCAATACGATTAGACTTTTTGACGGTTTTGTTGCAGGACAGGAGTAAATATTCAGCTTCAAATGATTCCTTTTGGGAAATCAACAAAAGTCGTTGTTTGGCGGTTTCTAATTCAACCGGATCGGTTATTTCCTTGACTTTAGTGCGGTAGTGCCGGTGTTTCGGACTAAGTCTGAGCATGAAGGTAACCACTCGCTGGAGTTTACGAAACGAGCTGAACTTTTCCCATGCAAATAAAATGGGTTGTTTTTGTTTTTGTGCAACGTTTGAAAAATTAGAGGCCTGCTGTAAACCTTCATTAAGGTCACAAGCGGGACCAGCCAGGCGGATTTTCTTAAGTATTTCTATGCTCGGCTTGAAAGGCCACTCGCCACTTTTCAGCAGACTTGGCCCGTTCACCCAGCTGCTTGTTTTTAAGGACTCCGCTGAGATTCCTCTGGTTCCCGTATCAGCAGGGTTGTCTCCACTTAAGACATGAAACCACTGATCTACGGTCGTACTTTCTAGAATCTCTCCAATCCGGTTTGCCACGAACGTGGGTTGCTTACTACCTGAGTTTAACCACTGGAGCACAGTGGTGCTGTCAGTCCACATGAACGTGTTTGACACAGGAATGGTTAGAGCTTTGAGGACATCTTCCTTCAAGCGGGTAGCGAGTAACGCGGCCTGCAGTTCAAGCTTCGGGATGGAAAGCGCTTTCATGGGCGCTACTCTTGCTTTTCCAAAGACGAAGGTCACTTGTGTTTCGAGTGAAGTTTTCACACGGGCGCGAAGAAAAGCTACAGCACAAAAAACTTCTTCTGAGCTGTCACCGAACATGTGTAACTCAACCCAATCGACTGGTGCGGAGAAGTAGCTGCGCTTTATACTCATTTTCCCTAGAGATGGCAAACCAG